AGACAGACAGATAGATAGATAGATAGATAGATAGACAGACAGACAGACAGACAGACAGACAGATAGATAGATAGATAGATAGATAGATAGACAAACAGATAATCAAATGAAATGACAGACAGGCAGGCAGGCAGGCAGGCAGACAGACAGACAGACAGACAGACAGACAGACAGACAGATAGACAGACAGACAGACAGACAGACAGATAGATAGATAGATAGATAGATAGATAGATAGACAAACAGATAATCAAATGAAATGACAGACAGGCAGGCAGGCAGGCAGACAGACAGACAGACAGACAGACAGACAGACAGACAGACAGATAGATAGATAGATAGATAGATAGATCTGTTTCATAGTGAATACTTTCTGTCAGGAGTGTTGTTAGGCTCTATTATTCATTTTACAGCGGCTAAATAAATAGAGAATAAAATGAAATGACATACAGACAGACAGACAATAGATAATCAAATGAAATGACAGGCAGACAGGCAGACAGACAGACAGACAGACAGACAGATAGATAGATAGATAGATAGATAGACAGATAGATAGATAGATAGACAAATCTGTTTCATAGTGAATACTTTCTGTCAGGAGTGTTGTTAGGCTCTATTCATTTTACGGTGGCTATAATTGAGCAGGTACATCACATCCGCCGTGAAAGAGAAGCCACTTGTGATTATATCACCACCCTCCAGGTGCTGCGCAAACGATCTCTCAAATGGCACTGAAAATACGAGACATTTCCACTTCTCACGCTCCGTGCAAATCAACACCTGATCATCTTAAAGATTCCCCATCCGGCGTTGAGTTACCGTATGCTCATTATGTCCCATATCATACAAAGATAGCACAGCAGGGTGGGGTTCTGATCACACGGTGCATCTGATAACACCCAGCCATTGTTCAAAGACAACGACTCTTCAGTGGTCTTCTTATATATCATATATATAATATATATCATATTAGTTGTAGAACCTAAACTGAACCCAGTAACAAAAGTGCAGGCTTACAGACAAGTAAACAGACAGATAGACAGCACCATCCTTCCTGTGACCTGAATGGTTTTGATGTCGGCAACCAAAGCAGAAATTAGATGAGGTATCGCTACCATCACGAGAATTAATTTGAGCAATATATCCCAAAGTCAAACTTCATCACACTGCGTAACAAGGCCAGAGGGGAGATATGTTAATTACGAGATTAAGAATGCATCAAGTCAATTTCAAGTTGTTTTTCTTTTCCTTTTTTTTTTTCTCGGTTCAGCTTCAGCGAGAGCCATTAAACCTTTTTTCCTCCATCTAAGACACTAACTTGGCAGCTGAATTTGAGCAAAAATCTGCTCGAGTTTGTTACTGGTGAAATGGAATGTGACTTAAAAACTAATTGCAGTCACTCGACACATGTTTAGCAACTTAAATGTGCACTTGCTACAAGACTGATATATTACAAGATATTGGGCGCTTATTGGGTGTATCTGCAAACGTATTCCAAAAAATTCTTCCCCATTAACTGGAACAGTGCCGTGATCCTTGCATACTCTTGAAATGTGTAGCTGCAGTGAAAGTGATATTTTTGAAAGCCACAAAAAGCATGGAGAGGGTGGAACCAAAACGGAACATCATTAAATCTACAGCACTTTCAAGGGCAGTTCAAAGATCTGCATTATTATTATGCAGCGTCCCAGAGCGCTCTGACAGGAGCCTAATATGGCAGAATCCTTATAGCTATCTTCTTGTTTCCCTCGAGACACGGCTAAAATTATTGCAGTCCCTCTATCGAAAGCAGGAGCTTTTAAAATCTAATTATTGCAGACTTCACAAATCAGAGCGTAAAGTTTATGTCAGATTTCTAGACACTAAGCCCTTCCCTGATGGCAAAATATATTGCAATAGAGGTGATAAACAATGTTTCAACTGATTACAAACTGTATTTTTTTTTACATCCCCTCACAATTTTCTTGGCAGTCCTTCACTGGCTGTCATCCACATACCAGACGGTGAAAAAACCCTGTTTTAATTATTAATACACTCCCTATTTGTGCAAGTGAACAAGCAGCTTTTTATTCAGCATCAATTCTAGCCAAATGCCTTTTTATTTTACATCAACGAGCACAGTGCTGTTTCAAAAGTGACTGGCACAATTTTCATATCACCTGCAGATAGACTTCTTTCTTAACCTGAGAAAGGGTGCGTTAAAATGCTCCAGGTCAAAAATTAAAAAGCAAATCATGTTGGTGAATCATTCTCCTCAGCCCAAATTCATTTCATAACCACCTCTGATCTCATATTCAAAAGTAAACGAGTTTCCTCTGTGACCCCGTAATTTATGATAATGTATTACACCTTTCAATAATAAACTGATGTACAAAGGTAAGATAAGTGGTCAATTCAAAAAAAGTTTCAGTTAAACATACAGTTTGCTAAAAAAATTATTTTCGGTGATCATTTGCTCACCTTTGTGTCATTCCGAACCTGTATGACTTGTATGAACCTGTATGTTCTTCTGTAGAACACAAAAGGTGAAATTTCGAAGAATGTACTACTTGCTCTTTTCCATTAAATTGCAATGAATGAAGCTTTGAAAGACTGTACTGGTTCAGTTATCGAGTTTAACTCAAAAATTCAGTCACAGCCGTTATTATCATGGAATAATGACTTCATTTTTGGCCTGTTCGTCAAACAAAGCTATCTTATGATTTAAAGCTATAGTTCACCCAAAATTGAAAATTCTGTCATCATTTAATCACCCTCATGTTGTTCCAAACCTGTATGAGTTTCTTTCTTCTTTTGAACACAAAAGAAGATATTTTGAACCATGTTGATAACCAAACAGTTATTGACTTCCATAGTATGGAATAAAATACTATGGAAGTCAATGGCTACCGTCAACTTTTTGTGTTCAATAGAAGAAAGAAGCTCTTACAGGTTTGGAACAACATGGGAGTGAATATTTGGGAATCCCTTTAAGAGACATATAGCGTACACGTTGCACGGACTACTTTTATGGTGCTTCCGTGTCCTTTTTAAGCTTGAAAGCTCATATTCCTATTTATTGTGATTTCATGGAAAAGAGCGGCTGATACAGTCTTCAAAATGTCTCTTTTTTTACTTCATGGAGGAAAGAAAGTCATATGGGTTTGGAACAATATGAGAGTGAGTAAATTATGAAAATAATATTTGTTTTCCCCTTTAATGCTTTATTTTTAATGAAAAGACTAAGTCTGATATTGAAAGAACTGCCCTTATGAATAATCCAAACAGCCAGAATGGTTCTGTGCCAGAATAGTTTTCTTATCAAGTGGATCTCGAGGTACTCTTAGTAAATCCATTTAGCATCCTGAAAACACAAACACTCTCATGTAGAGTCATTAAAAAGTGACTTATTAGCATTACAAATTACATTGTGCACATTCACAATACACAAAGAAATAATAAGGTTGCAGCAGGACTGACAGTGAATAAATCACAGATCTTTTTGTGCAGCTATTGATTGTCATTCGCAGCTGTAGCCTGCACATAAGTGACAAAGCATCCATTATTGATTTTTCTATCTCATAGGAACCTCATACATCAGGCCACTTGAGAGCATGTTCACCTCCACGCTTCGAGACAAAGCCGTATGCAAATTCCAGTAACTGGCATAGCAAAAAGATCCATCCACTAGTGCTGCATAATTATTATATCCACCAAATTGAAAGGGCTGATATGTATATTTAGCCCTTCAATGGCTTTTAACCGGCTTGAGAACTTATCGAAATGCTATGCACTGAAAATGGATTCTTTGGGATTCTGCAATCGGATTCTGCCTGTTAGAAAGACAGAGTCTGCAGATTTGTGGAAATTCCTGGTTGGACTTTTTGACTGCCTAGGCTAGGCAATATAGCTAAAAAAATATCTTGATATTTTCCTGCCTTTACATGATAATCCATAGATCTATATGATATGTATTTGCACTTTTAGTTACAGAAATCATTTCGGTAACACTTATTCACTATTAACTACGACTTTTCCCTCAATAAATTCCTAATTCACTGCTTATTAATAGTTAGTAAGGTAGTTGTTAAGTTAAGGTATTGGGTAGGATTAGGGATGCAGAATAAGGTCATGTAGAATAAGGCATTAATATGTGCTTAATTAGTACTAATAAATGGCTAATATTCTAGTCATATTCAGCGCAGCCAAAATGACACATTCATAAGGTTGTAAATTCACACAGTGCTCTATATACACACACACTGGTAAAGAACTCTTGGATTACAAAGTTGCAAATATAACAACTCATGTGATATCACTCTTAACGGCTAATAAATCCTTCATTACACAAAATAGAGTTTGACCCCGTTTCGTTTAGTTATCAAGCACACAGGTATTCCTGTTTAAAATACACAAAATATACAAAGTATGAGCACATGTTTAGTTTTTGATTGCCAAAACTGAGCCGAAGCTAAAAAAACTAAACATACAATGCTTTGATAAATCAGATCCTTACTGAGCAATCACACAGGAAGTGTAATCACACTGGGTGTGATCCGTCTGCACATTAATGAGCATTTACACACCATATTGTTCTCAGTTAATGAGGGACACAAACAACCAAAGAAGGAAAAAGCGTAGAGGGAGATGAATGCAGAGGCGACACCCTGCCTGTTTAAACAAGTGTCAAACTCAAACACTTTCTTGTTGTGTCTTGTACAATCACTTAAGTTTCTACTCCCCGTAAAAAATAGGTTTGATGCTCGTAAGGAAAAACATTCAAGCCATGTTATTATCTGCAGGCGGTTAGTCGTGACAAGCACCGCATTATTTTCTCGAATGTTACTTGAACGCATATGTGAAGTGGCTTACTTGATTTGTGCAATTAAATGCTTTCAATGTATGCCGAGCTGCAATAAAGAATACTGCCATAATCAAATCATTATTCTGTACGGCTCGTGTAAATGGTGCCATGTGCCAAACAGGGACTGTGAGAAATGAGAAATCACGCTGTATACCGAGTTCAGCCTTCTCTTTGAGGACGTCCTTGAAGTTGAGGCCGCTGTTGAGCGTGGACTCTCTGTATTTGTGGAGCGCTTCTCTCTGGCCGTTTTTGCCGAGCTCCTTCAGCACGGTGGGTTTCAGGGGTATGGCCTGCAGACCCTTGTTCCAACTCGACACATCCGCCACCATCCATTTCACCAGATCCTCCAACTTCACTATGACTTTCTCAGAGACAGCGATAACTTCATCCTATTAAGAGAAATATGCAAAGTGAGGAAGGGCATAGTTATAGTGGCAAAACCAGGCAAAACACTCTTAAATTCCTAATGGGGTCATATGATGTTGCTAAAAAGACAATTATTTTGTGTATTTGTTTTAATGAAATGTGTTTATGCGGTTTAAGGTTAAAAAAACACATTATTTTCCACATACTGTACATTATTGTTTC